TTTCTCACATGGTTCCTATCAAATCCACCAAGGTATAAAGATCTTCTAATGTAATATCAACGGATTTCGATCCAATGGTGAAGTTAGAAAACACACTGGAAACAGACATCCAAATGGCCAAATCCCTTGAAGACATGATCAAAGGAAGAACCACCACCTAGGATTAAGTCAAGGAGAAGAGGATTAATGAAGGATCCTCATATTTCAACAAAAATAGGAGGTTTTCAAAACCGAGCCCCAATGACAATAAACCTAGGGACAACAACGAATTAAACTGGTGTGAAAGATGTAGAAAGAAGCATTGTGGACAATGCAAAGAAGATGTAATTTGCTACCAGTGTGGAGTTACAGGTCATTGTGCTAATGAATGTAAATGCATTGAAAGGCTATGTTTTCAAAGTAAAGAAGAAGGGCATGTAGTGAAAATTTTCCTAAGGAAGAAAGGGGCTGCTCGAGCATCTCAGATGACTCTAAGGGCTATGAAGTAAGAAAAAAAAATGTAACTTCAGGAAGCCAATAAAAGGAAGCTCCTAGGATGTCTATGTAGCCATCCCATATGGTTAGTATTGTATGATGTAGCCTAAAGGCATTATGTATGATGAACTCGGATAGCAATATAATCATTTTCAAGAAATAATATAATCCTTAGTTATGTTATCCGATGTATTAAATGACTATGTGAAATTCTTGTATGGTAACTTGGAAAACTGCAAGATAATACTTGTGACAAGTATGAGTAGGTGTGAAAAGGTAGTTGAGGCCTATACTAACAGAGCACATGACTCACACTTGGATTAAGGAAGGTCACATGGTTACTAAGACACCAACAATTGAGTTATTTTGTTCATTTCCATCACTAACTTTATTTATGTAATGAATACGAAGATAAATATTCCGACCTTAGTGGTCATATCGAATCGAGTCCAACTAATCAACAAAGTAAGTTCGACGTGGTGTCCGACTTTATATTAAAGGAAAGGATAATCGAAGCGATCAATAGAAGTATCGCAACCATCATTGAGACTAGGCAGCTTATAGCTAGAAGTGATACATACTAGAATGCAATTATATAACATTAGAACATTGTGACATCCCCAAAATCACGGCCAGAAAAGACCGGTTTCATTTATGATTTTAAAACAATTTCAGAGTAAATCCTTTTGATTTAAATGAGTTGCGGAATTTGTTCCCAAAAACAAAATATGATAAAATAATATTTACCAAAGCATTTCATAAAGAAATGTATTTTCATTATATAATCAAAACTCGGGATGTCATGTTCTGATACAGACCAAAAAGCATAAACGACATATTACAATCCATACAATATTTATATACATATATAGGCTCATAAACAAAACAACTTGATGATTCATCCATCTTATGCCCTCGCGCCACTTCCAGTAATACAAATAAACTGAGTGGGTCAGGCTTGGGGAGCCTAGTAAGCATATAGGGTTTTCAACCCACAATAAATAATTATATTTAATTTCATCAACCAACAATAACCAGATTACCCATTCCCGTTATCCTCACTTTACGTCCCTAAAACAATATCTATTACAAGGGACCTAATCTAGAATTTTCATCAGGACAAACATTACTGCAAGGGGTTTCCTCAGCAATAAATGTCCTAAAGGCAACCATAAGGGGGATAGAGTACACCGGTTAACACATCGTTCACAATAGGGATGAAAGTGGGTCCAAACCCAGACAGGATGGACCTGGACCAAGAAAACCCGAAACTAGTTAACAGGATTTTATAGAACCGGAAACCGGACCGGTATATAGGAACCGGTTCTGGTTCGATTCCGGATACGGTTCCGGGTAAAGTGGGTCGAGAACCGAAAAACCCAGAAACATCAAAGTGGGTAGGTTGGAACCGGATAAAGTGGGTTTAGAATCGGAAAACCCAGAAAAATCGGAATTTTTTGGTAATTACTTACTATTTAGTGGGTTGAACTTTGAAAATTTTCAAACTGATATACCGACTTTGGGGGACTGTAACTCATTGAATAAGAAACCAAAATTAAGAAAATTATAGTCTAAAATCATGTACAAACTCTAAAATACACTCTGAAAAAAACCGCATGTCAATCTGACTTTAAACGAATGAGATATGCATGTGTTAACATTTTCACATAATACAAATTACAAAAACAAATAGATGAAAAGTTGAAAATTTTTAATTTTGATATCTCGACTTTGTAGGATTGTAAATCATTGAACGTTAAACCAAAAATGACAAAATTATAGTCTAAACTCATGTACAAACTGTAAACTACAAGATGCAAAAAAAAACCACATGTCAATCGGACTTCAAACGAATTACATATGCATGTTTTAAAACTTTCACCGAATACAAAAAAACTGAAAAACTAAAAACTTCCAGCTTTGATATCTCGATTTTGGGGGACTGTAAGTCAATGAATATAAAACTAAAAATGTCAAATTTACAGTATAAAATCATCTACAAACTCTAAACTACATGTTGGAAAAAACCGCATGTCAATCGGAGTTGAAACGAATGATATATACATCTTTTAAATGATTCACAAAAACCGGTTCTGGTCCTAAAAGTGGTTCCGGTTTTCAGACCCGGTTTACCCGGACCCGATGGACCCAAACCCGGATTACCCGGAACCCGGATAAAGTCAATTTTTAAACCCGAAACCAGAACCGGTTCTATATATTCCGGTTCTAAAGGTTCCGGTTCTGGTCCGATTCCGGTTTCGGTCCGGTTTTCCGATTCTAAATCTCATCCCTAGTTTACAACACCTACAGGTTATGAACCTGCTAGCGTTCCACATGACTGTCTAGAAAGAGTCCGTGGTCATCATCCATACTCCGCTAGATGACTAGGTTAACAACAACAACATCGAGGCATCTCATCAGTTTATCACACATCAACTATCTACCCAAGTTCTACCCAACTTTCTGTAGATAACAATATACATATGCATACATATGCAACTTAAAAACTGATAAGATATTTATTTAATACTCATTCCAAATATACAAATTCATTCGAAGTAACAAATAATATATATCTATATACACATAACACGTATTCACTCGGAGATACTTTATATGTATGTGTTAGAAAAAAAGTAATATACACTCACTTGATCAGAAGATGATCAGACAACACTACGGCTTGCAGAAGTAGTATTCTTCACACACCTGGTTTCTTGTAGGCAAAACTTCGGCTCAGAAACTATTTTCTTCTCGAAATCTTCGGGCTTCGGTACTCGCTTCGGGTCTCGGGATGATACATGGGCTTCAGGGGTTAAAATAGGTCATAGAGAGGGTATCGGAAGTGGGAGAGTAAGGGAGTAGCAACCTAAATCGGCTGACCCTTGATTTCTATTTATAGGGTGAGTTTTCTGGGTTCACGTCGTGAGTTTCTAATGCTCACATCGTGAGGCTTGATCGTCACTGCATGCGTCACTCGTCCACTTGGGTCTGCCAGCTCTAGAAGGGTCAAATCTTTGAATTCACGTCGTGAACACAGTGTTCACATCGTGAACTCTAACATAGTACCGGGTTTCGTGTCTCGAACTTTAGAAATTCATATCTTTCGCATACGAGCTCCGTTTTCGACATTCTTTATATGCACGCGTATGTAAAAACAAGATCTACAACTTCCGTTTAGACTCTGTCGGCTAATTTTGACTTTATTTTTATTATATATTTATTATATTATTTTTAGTAGGCCGGAATAGGAAAACTCCGTTAGAAAATCATAACTCGTTCGTCTGACGTCTGTTTTCGTCTGTCTTTTCGTCGTTGCATTACTATTGATGAGATCTTTAATTCTCATTTAGAAAGTTTTGGCTAAATATCGCTCGATCTCATATTCAAACTTCGGGTTGTCTACTGCTAGGCTGAAACTTCGAAAAATCATAACTTCCTAACACGAAGTCAGATTTGGGCGTTCTTTTTATGTACGCTCTCGGTTTAATATATTCTACGACTTTCGTTTAGATTACTAAGGCTAGATATCGCTCGATCTTAAATTCGTATTTTACATCATTCAGGGTCGTGCCGGTTCTGTCGCGAAACTTCGACAGGTCATAACTTCTTCGTTATAACTCGGATTTCAGCATTCTTTATATATTCGGAAACCTTGTCACGACCACTACCACAACCTTAATAGATATCGAGATTATCTAACATTTCATTTTGACGCTTGTTTTTATCCTTAATTCATTTAAGTCACACAATTAAACACAAAACACATAATACTCAAATAATACCTCTCTATTATTTCAAGATGGGGTACAAAGATTAACCTATACTATTACATCGCTATTAATGACAAGCCCAGAAACACGGGCGTTACAAACATGAAGGAAGGCATTACCAATGTTAAAGTTTGACTCAAAGAGACCTGAGTCTAGCCATTACATCATGCGATAGAAGGTCATTAGAACATGACTTATCAGTCTGTTACGATAGTAAAGGTAAAGACCTCATCTTAAGTTAATCTTGTCTCCAATAAGGATCAAGTTTGTAACTCGAAGGTTAGAACATAAAATCCCAAAATAGAATAAACCGCAGATGTAAGGCTATGCACCACCAACAGTCAATAAGTGCAAGAGTTAGAAGCACGTTTGAAAATACTTAGGAATTACGTTTAATACCTAGGATCTAAAGGTAACGTGCGGGGCCATCCATCAAGCCCTGTTTTGCTGATGATTCCAGGACGTAATCATCTCAAGGGAAAGATAATTGTAACACATGCAAGTTCGGTTCTGAATAAGTAGGGTCCTCATCTCCATCACATCCCTCTCCTCCTCAAGATAAGGTACCCGATTCGTTAGTTTCCTTAGGGCCATCCTCAAAAGAATTAGCTCAAATTCCATCGCTCCAATGCGATCCAAGTGATGGGTGGTATGTGGTACAAGGAAAGAGATATCCTGCTTAATGGGGGTGTCCGGGGTAAGGTTAGGTGCAGTAGAGGACTCCACTACCTCGAAGCGCAAGCCGATATCCTCCTATTGCCTCCAAGATCTAATCATGGGCATCCAAGTGGGGTCCCCATACAGTTTCTTCGCTGGCGGTTGTGATGGAGGTGGAGATTTTTCTCTCTTTCGAGAGGGGATATCAATAGTCTTTCTCATGGTTTGTTTCACCCGAGTACTAGTAGTGTGAGCTCTGAAAGATCGATGTGAAGGAGTGGGGCAGGGTGGTGAGATCTCTAGCGAGGTGGAAATATCCTCCCCACCCTCGTTTGTCTCATAATCGAATGTGAGAAGCTTAAGTCTAGCCGGTGTGTAGTCTAATAAATATATTGGATTAGAAGGGTCCGGGCTGGAGTTATCCTCCACTGGTGTATAGTCGGGCTCGGACGGGTGCTCAGTTGGAGTATAGTCGGGCTCGGTGTTATCACTGCCCTCCATAGGCTCCTCCACATAAGTCATGATCATCGTTGGTGTGTCTGTAGGGTCAGAAGCACCATATATTGCATGCTCCTCTTCCGATATGGAAGCTACACTCCATGATCTTATGCCTGCCATATTATCGGGAAAACATACACAAGAAATCAAACATGAAAGATGTTAATGAGAGACGTGAAGATCAATTAAATACAATATAACATCCAATTATAAGCATGTAATACATAATACCTGTAACTCTTGAGTCTCCCTACTATGTCGTAAGTGACCAATAGTGGTTCCTAAGCCATAAATCCTCAAGTGTAGATGTCGTTAAGCCAAAAATCCCCAGACACAAAGCCTCTAAAAATAAATCTCCAAATATATCATCATTGTCTATACATCCAATCCATAAGCCCTCAAGCGATTAGATTGCCAACCACCGTATCCGAGTTTAATCGTGCATCGGTCGAACCATAATAAAACTTAGTTGCACATTATAGATCTAGTACTGGTACAACCGATGTACTATACCAACTCTAAACATGGTTTTTGACCTAAATTCCCGAGTTGTGATTTCATAGGTTTGTGTTGGTGGGTAGTAAATATATTTTTGTGAGCGCATTCATATTTCTCTATATCTTTAAATCTTTGTTGCGTTGTGTATATTTTATAAATTTTTTGGGTTTTGTACTCCAAGACTATCAAGTAAGGATTAGCTAGCTGAGAAGTACCAGAGGATAGAACCATTTTAATACTTTTTAATTTATTACGCTTAAAGGGTTAAACCTAATTAGAGTGTAGCCCTAGATTATAGTTGTATTTCCTAAGGAATTACTAGTTCGATATAATTGGAAGCTCTGATACCTATCTGTTACACCCTTGATCGTCGGTGGAAACTGTTGGGTTTTGAGCATTCTAACACTCCTAAGTGTACATGTAACCCTAAATACCTTGGATCTATGTTTTCTCTATTATACATGCAAATATGAACATCCAAGGTATTATCCTAATCTAGCATACAAAACTATCAATATAACAAGATAGAATACATACCTCTTTGATGTAGAATGTCTTCATGAAGCTTGAGTGCCTAGTGCCCCAAGTGTGACACCTCAAATGGTTCACACAACACCAAATACACTTGGAATAACTTGAGAGAATTCTACACTTCATAAAATCGGCTAGCCCTCTCTAGAATAATCTAGTGGCCGATTTTGTCAAGAATAAGATCTTTATATAGTGTTACAATTAGGGCAAACCCTAATTGTCATGACTTTCCATTTCCTTGGATCCATGGGTTCAAATACACCATGGAGCATCCATGGAGCATCATATGGGTTTTGGCCCAACTAGATAATCCATGGAGCATTAGCCCACTATACAAGTATGGATGATTTACACAATCAACCCATATATTTAATTAGTCTTCTTTTGATCACTTAATTAATCCTAGATTAATTCTTGATCAATACTAATTAAATAATCTTATTATTCTTATTATTAATATACTAGAACTTATAATATATTAATAACCATAAGTGTCTTATTTCTCTCATTATAGTCTATCCAAGTGCATGATGCCATGCAACCCAAATGGACCATGCCGGGTCGGGTCAAGTCTTACCAATTATAGTTATGGACTTAGACATTAATCCAACAGTCTCCCACTTGGATAAGTCTAAAACTATTATTGCGTATGACTTCAGGAACCAACTGGCAATCGTAGCTCTCAAAAGCTTCTGTCGAACTCTGACCTTGTAGATGAACTCTGATCTTGTCAATGACTTGTCCATTAGATAAGGGATCATATATTCCTCCATTCTAGATATCATATGGACTGAGACATGGATTATAATCATTCTCTCTGTCCATTTGTTGTTTCCCGATTTCCGATTTATGACGACTGACTAATTGAACAAATCAAATCAGTCCTGGCCCGGCCGAGCACTTCCATTTGTCATCATCAAATCATCGAGGGGCCCACAGATATCGCTTTTATCCCGAAGGTAAAAGGAATGGATAAACTTCGACTCATATGGCTTGTTCTACTACTTGTTGAATCATACACAAAGACACGTTTTATAGCACCGAGTTACCAAATGCGTTTCGTGCAATCAATGTACAACCAACTCATAGTAACAACTCATATCTCTAGGTTTGAAGAATATAAGATATTATCGTCTCATGATCACTCGTGATAAAATCCATGAAGTGATTCCAATGAGCGCGGGTTGAATCCAATACTCAGAACTTATGAGCACTCATGAGTGTTGTAGCCATTTGTCCAACACCTTAGACCTCTACAAGCCAACCCATGACAGTCTTAATTCATATCTACTTCCAACATATGACCGACTGTGGATGGTTTGAATAACTTAGTCATTCCGGAAGAATAACCTAGTTTATTCGGGAAGTCAAAACATGCAAAGTGAAACACAATAATAATTGAATCCAATATGGTCTCAGAACTTATGAATATAAATAAAACACCTTTTATTTATCACCATATGATTACACATTATTCATTGTATACTGTTTCAGCTATCAACTTATTCTTGAATTTAAAACAATAGTTGTCCCATGCTCCAAGCATGTACACTATGTTTTCTAAACACTAGTCATGCCATACACCAAGTATGCATACTATGTTTGTCTATGATCTTTACTTTGTGAACTAGATCAATTGAACATAACTTCAATGATTCTCTTTTCACACTCCCAAATCCTTACTGCAAATACAAGAATTCCAAATTCATGTCATTTACTGAAATCTGTTAGATTCTAAACTTATATGCATTGATCCTCTTGTAATGATTATGCACAAAGTCAGAAAGACTTGGCAACAATCATTACAGAGTATTCCAAAGGAGATCAATCCTTGGAAACATCCTTCTTGCATTAAGTTTCCTTAATCTTACACAGATTGAAATTTCTGACTTTGAAACATTTCCAGATTCATTTTGACTATCACTTCTGAACAAGAGTTGCCTCCTTACAGATTATGTCAATATGGTCCTTCCAGAATTATCACTATACTTCCAACTGTCCTTGAGCAACCAATCTTTGGTAAACCTTAGATTGTCCTCGACAATTGTTTAATCCTTTTAGTCATATCCAGTTCTAAACCTTTTCCCTTCTTAATGCCCTAGGCATTTGGAAAATTTTAGAAAGGATGAATATAGCACATGTAATCGATCCTATATCCGAAGCATATGGGACACGATTCATGATGTCTCACATAAAGACTAAACCAGTCTTTTGCTATAACATTTCCATTTCTATTTGCCAAGTTCTCATAATTCAGATTATGAAAAGGGATGCCGTAATCATAATCGAATTTAAGAACGCAAATAATGGACCCATATACAGAATTTCCTTATGTTGAGCCATTCCAACATGAAATTCATATATATCCTTGACTAAATGATTAAAACCTCACGATCTAAGCTTATAGATTTGAGATGAAGTATAATTTCCTCTCCCTTAATTATAGCAAAACAACTTTTTCCCAATTGAAACCTTTTGTTTTCTATAATTAACATTGCTAACTTGCAATCTTATCATAATTATCATGCTCCCACTAACATGATGATTATTAGCATAACACTTATGCTCCCACTAGCTTTGACATGTTCTCAAAATCAGCTGGACTTCTAGAAATCAATACTTTATTGACTTTCTTACCAAAGTTCAGATTTCTGATACTAGATTTTTGATAAGACTTTATCAAATCATACACCTCTCTTAGATAGCTCACATGTGTGTCTAAACAATTATGAAGAGGGATGCCGTAATCATAATGGTTAGACCTTTTTGCCACTTCTCACAAGTCCAAGTTAGTGTGCCGGTAAACCACACACGCTCCACTAACGACTTTGAGAATGCAAATATCACAATTGCTATCTAACTAAAATCTACTTAGTGAAAGTGTTTCCTCACCATCATTTTCGTGAATCGAGAGAAACCTTATGACACTTAGATTTATATGGTGTATGAGTTCTATCCATATGAATTTGTCAAAACCATAATCACAAGACAAAGATAATGACAAATCCAAAACCATATGGATTGAACTCAATCTTAATTTCTTGCCACCTGGCAGCTCAAGGGCCTGCCATTGCTTCCAAGTTGTTGTGCAACCAATTGAGAACTCTAAGAACTCATATGCAAAGCCAACTTTGATTGGAATGGGCACAGAATATGTCAACATGATAGGTTATAAACCTCAAGTCGTGTGCTAGTGAAGAACTTCAGGTTTCATTCTTGATTAGTTCTTGAGAATTTCAAGACCTTTAAGACTCCCACTGTCCTCTTGACCTATAAGACTCCTTGTCAAACATCCAAGAGATAGTGTGGATTCTAATCAAGACAAACACTTCACACAATTGGCCTAAGTTGGTCTTTGTTTTATCCAAAACATCACAACTTACCAATTTCAAATGTACAAGAGTAGAAAACTTTTACTCTTACATTTGTCAAGTGTTTTAAACCTTCTTTAAGACATGTCACTCAAATTACAATCTTGGAGTATGACTCTAAGACTTGTATTGGAACGAAGTATGACTCATCTTCTTGATTTAACCATTTCAACAATTCAAGATCCCTTCTTCTTAGTCATAAGAATGCACTAAGACTTCCTTAGAGAACTAATTTTGATATGGTTTCTTAATCATTAAGATGATCACAAAACTGATACTAAAGTACTCTCCCATCTTTTCAGATTTGAGAAACTTTTATCTTTCTGCCTAAGTTGATTCTTCTTATTCGCTCTGCCTTACATTGGAACCTTTTCCAATGTCTCAGAGTTACACTTAAGCTTGTAAGTATAATCATATTTACTGAGCTTTAGTAAACTATGACGAATAGTCTTATTAATCTTTTGTGGTGGACTTAATCAGTGCACATGACTATGTACTCGATCCCTTAGTCCATTACTTGACTCACACATCCATGTGAATAAGTAATTAGTCTTAATTTTCCAATACTTGAAAGTTCTCATTCATCATGCTATACACCTTGCATGATTCCAAGTTCCGGTCCAATTGAGACTTGGGTGATGAGAATCTTTCCTTTATTTGGTAAATTTAGACATTACCACAAATGAAAAATCAATTTCATATTTCCACTCTTGCTATTAA